CAAAAACATTGTTGTTGTCAAGTAACAAATTAAGCGATCAAACAAGATTGTAATATTAGTTTTGTCATGAAAGATAAACAAATTACTATTATTAATTTGTTACTTGATAACAACAATGTTTTTGTCCACAACCAACACAACCCGCCCACCCTCCACGTGCGAAAATACATAGTCCCCGCTGACTGGCTGGAGTAAATTGGTCCTGAGCACTCGTAATGGCTGATGCTATAGCCCAGCGGCAACTGTACGCAGGCTATAGTACTAGAGCTAGCATGGAACTATCTTGCCACACAGTAATTACGAGAATCAGTTACTTGTGGTTAGCCAGCTAACACTGTAATCACAGCCAGTAACACTGACAGTGTTAGTATTAGTAAACACCTTGTTTAAAGTGAATATGCCGTAATGCGTGATTGACCATTCTTTTCAATTCACTGTAGTTTACCAATACCATTTTCTGTGAACTCGTCTTTCCCTATCCATCTCTAGTTGAAAGTGGCTTATGCATTTAGACTCTACCCCTGCATCAATGCCACCATCTCATTTGCTTACACACAAGTGAACACAGTTACATGCAGTGTAAAGACCAGTTTATTGAAATCGACACGCACTTGACTGTTTTTATTAAAAAACGTCACAACCTACGACTTCTAGACTAATGACGAAAGTGACAACACCTACACATTTTCATACAGTGAGGGAAGCCACGTTGCCGTGTCGTATCAATGTTAAAGTCAATAAATCACGTTGTTTGTTTACAGAAATTAGGCATTTTCTACACTGTCACATATTGATATATAGAATTCTGTTTACTCGTGAAGGCAACATTTTTGAATATTATGATCACTTGCCGTAGTTTCATCTCGCGACAGGGTTACTTCCGTTAATCATCATCATGGATTATGTGCTGCCAAATATATTGAGATTAATTATCTAACCTGACAACATTGAAATATTTTATATGCAAATTCAATAAAATGCCTAGCTATGAAATATTTTTAGTTATCATGACGTAAAACAACTGTAAACAGTGGCTCCCTCTTTCTGAATCGCCATTGCTTTCGGTTTGTGGTAACTTGTTGTTATCTGTCAATAAAAGGGGAAATTAATACTATTTAAGGTAAAATAGTGTTCTTATAGTTTCATATTTTTAAATATAAAGTGGACTATTCATAGCAGATCTTTGTTTATGATGAAATTATTCACGCTTGTTTATTGCTATGTGAGTAGTGTTGGTTGCTGTTACTGTAGTGTTACTGTTTTACCACCGAAGCACTCGGTGCACATGTTCATACACATTGCACCGCTGTACCAATCTCAGAGTCTGTATTGACTCGTTGATCGTTTGAAAGAGGTGCTGGCGAGTATACAAATGATACGTATTTTGTAGGCATAGTGTAAATACCAGGCAGAATGACGAATTCCAAGGGCTATCGCCGTGGCACACGGTACATGTTCTCGCGGCAGTTCCGCAAGCCATGGAGTTGAGCGCTGTCAACATTTTCCTCACTGTCTACAAGAAAGGCGACCTCGTTGACATAAAGTATAACGTTTGGAAACTCGTGCTGGTATTCCTCTGAGCTAGAGCAACACGACCATTTCAATTCGGCGACAGGTGGAGTTTGTTGTGCATGAAGTAATGAATGTAATGAAAGTAATGCCTATGTGTATTTCTTTCGTTCTTTTATGATTTTGGAACTAATAAGAAGTACAATATGATTATGAAGTGATGAGGGTTTGTGTGGAATGCGGTTTTAGCATTCGTTATAAATCCAGTTTCTAGAAGGTCTCACTTTAATGTTTTGCAGGGTAATGGTTGCTTTCAAAAAGGCATGCCACACAAAGTATACCACGGCAAAGACGGCAGAGTATACAACATTACCCAGCATGCACTAGGTGGCATCGGTCAACAAGCGAGTGAGGTGAGCTTTTATCTTCCTACCATCAAAATCTCTCATTTTTAGCTCACCTTGACATCGTCAAGATGAGCTATTGCCATGGGTCGTCGTCCGTCGTACTCTGTCGCCATCCTTCCGTCAACATTTGGCTACGGTCAACGATAACTCAGAAAACCGTTTGTGCCCACATGGCCATCGGCAATTTTTTGGCAAAAATGGAATTGCCATTAGTCATTTCAGTTCAACGGATTTTGCTTCATTTTTTGGTATATTAAATAAATAAGGGCAGGGCGTTTTGATATTTAAAATAAAATTATGCAAATTAGGTAGGTTTTGGCAATTATATAGCATATTATGGTTATAGACACGCAGATATTTAGGTGTAACGCCATCACTCGCCCACATCTCAGCCTTTCTCATAAAAAAATTACCATATAATTATCAAGAGTATATAATGGGAGTTCTTCCCATTATATACTCTTCGTTTCTATAATGTACGCCAATGGTTGTCTCAATTAAAACTGACTTCTTCTCACTCACTCATTTGTGTCCTTTTTTGTGGTGAGCTAAGTGTCATTAACACTTTCATTAAATACATTTTTAAGCATTATTAATAAATATACTTTACGTTAAATACTCGGAAAAATGACGCACATTGTGACCAATTGATGTGAAGGGTTTGTTAATGGGCGGCGTGTTTACTTTCTGCCGACAGGGGGCGCATCATAGCAAAGCGCATCAATGTGCGAGTGGAAGCACGTTGAAACACTCGAACTGCAGACGGGACTTCTTGAGACGCGTTCAGGACAATGACGCGTTGCCAGGCGGGGTAGCCAGGAAAGGATCCATCATCAAGGCAAGAGCAGGTGATGTGTACCTCTTTTGCTCCAGGTCAGGTGCTACAGGGATAGAAGGGTTCTTCTTGTTCTCATTTCCTCAACAACTGGTGCTTAAAGCCTCTGCCTACCTTCTGTGTGAATCATAGTTTGGTCTGGAGTTAGTTTCAGCAGTTTGTGGCAGACTGCAAGAGCATCAGTTGTAATTCTTTGTCTTTTTTTCTCTAATGTTAAGTGGAGACCACTTATGTGTCGAGTGATTTAGTTTTTCTGTGTTGCAGTTATATTATTAGAGGAGCTGGGATTAACACTTATCAATGTGTCATTGGTAAATAAATGCCAGCCATTCAGATTTATAATGAAGTTGATTATTTCGATTTATCTTATGAAACGAGTCCAGTTCATGGTGACACCTTCCTCTAGAGTTTTTATAACACCCGTCTGCCAGTGAGGAATGTGAAGGGAAGCGAACAGTTTTTACGAGTGTGTGCGTGCTGATAAACCCATTTTGTCCCTTTTAGCCCAAGGAGCCTCTTCGGGGCACATCACGTGGCGAACAAGGTACAACAAGCCACAGCTCCTGGAGCCAATCCCCTACGAATTTATTGCATAACGTGTGGCTGTAAAAAACGGTGAATTTGTACTGATAATGTGGAATAAAGTAGGACTGTGAACAAAAGTTGGTCCTGTGTTTTCTGTTACCAACGATAATGGCAAAAACCTTTCACTATTTCGAAAAATATGGGCATCAAGTAACAAATTTCTCTTTCATAATTATTACATGCACAATAATGTAAAATTGATAGTTTTTATTAAATAATCACATGTAGAATTGTTACATACTGTTTACCACATAAAAAATAATACTTTGCTGCATGCTCCACATACCTAACCATGAACTTGCAATTGTTACCAGTAAA